TACAATGAACAAAATACGAGAGATATTAAAATACAGTGAGGAATAGTGTAAGGTACCCATATCATTTTTATCACACAACATTTACTGCAAACACCATACGAACAGAACATGAACCAGCGGACCATGTTAGAGTCCCAAAATTATATCCGGTCGAAGCCTCCCTGCCATCGAACCTCACTTTGAAAGAAATCTTCTTTACACTCTCAACAAATGTTATCTTTTTGGGTGAAACCTTAACGTCCATTCCCATGGGAGCTTGCACAACGGAAGTGTACGTCGCATTCGGGAGTCCGACATTCGTAATGGTTCTTTTAATGGTTCGGAAGCCTTCACTTCTGGCTAGTCTGCTTATGGAGACTGATGGATAATTAATGCCGGAAATGAGATCGTCCGAGGGTTTCCTCGGACATTTGAAGTTCGTCTTCGACATGGATCGAATTGTTTTCTCCGGATATCCGTAGTAACAAAGGAATCTAAGGTAATCTTCGCTTGTCGTTTCGAAGACTATTCCGGGATTAAGAGCTTTGAGTGGGATGATTTCTCCGGCTCCGGTCTCGTGTGGGATGGCAATTGAACCCGAACTGTTCGTCAATGGTTTCTCCATGTTATCGTACACGGTTGCTGCATTAATAGGTGAAAGGAAGGAACAACACTAGTGTAAATCATGAATTTCATATATTAGTTTGGAGCTTCAAAGTTGGTCACTTTACCGGTTGTCATGAGTGGCGACCTGATCATGGAAGCAGTCCATGTAGGATGCACCGATTTTACGAAAGCCGAAGCCCCTGTTACATGTGGACAGGCCGTCGATGTTCCCGATTTTATGGCATATCCAGACGGCTTCCTACGAAACAAGGTGCTCCATTCTTCAACTTTCGGAACTACCGCAGCTAAAATGGCGACCCCGGGAGCCATTACATCAGGCTATATAGCAAGGGAAAATGAAAGATCAACAAACTTGAATGTATTAGTGTATGCAAATATATATGTTTATTTCAGAGTTCACGAAAATATATACCTTGAGAATGTTTTCTGTTAGTAGACTGGGACCTCTAGATGAAAAATATGCCACCACTGGTGCTGGTTTATGCCTGGGAAATTCAGTTGTAGGAAGGATAGTTGCAGTTGGATTCCTATCATCATCGACCACGGTGTATAAGTTTATGCACTATGTTCACTATCTAGATAGATTTGTGGTACTTCCAATTCTGTGACAATCCCTTGGCTCCAGCATCTTCGGCTACTAATTTCTTGATTCCCCTTGATACCACCGGGAAACTGTCGAAGCAAATGATCATTTTTCCTTTCACCTTTTCCGGATCTAAGGATCCAGGATAGCAGCTCCTGCAAATCAACACACAAAAGGATTCATTGCAACAAATGGATACAAAATGAACAAAATAGAGTCAACAATGTTTTGATCATTTATCTTCATTGAAGTACCTTGCTTCTGATACCGGACTGTATTTAGCAGCTATTGCCTTTCCATATGCAAGAGGAAAGGCCTCCGTCCGAGTGAGGTTTGAGAAGTTGATGGCAGATCCCTTTCACCACAATGTCACAAAAAAATAAATCTCATTATGTACGGACTGAATCAGGTCAGATTCGAGTTAAGTTCATATATGATATCGACATGAGTTACCTGAAAGGTTCTTCCATTTCCTAGAAGCACCGAAGACTTGAAATCTCGATCGATATTAGAAGCCCCAACTGTAAAAATCCATGCCGCTGCATTAATGATAGTATAAGGATCAGGGCCTTCGTTGCCTCCGGAACAGACAACCATGACCCCCATTTGTTCTGCGTGAAATGCTCCGATCGCAATGGGATCTTTCAAGAAATCAGATTGGAGCAGAGAGCGACAGAAATCGATATGATATCGACACCGTCCCTAATGGAATCGTCGATTGCCTTTAACATGTTAGAGCCGGGACAACCGTCTTCAGAACATACCTTGGAGACTTGTCGAGTCTCGTTTGCGTTGCTGTCGTGTTCCCATTAGATGTCTGAACTACGTTGTAGCATCTTGCTCCTATCAGCTTCCTAGAATTACAAAGTTACAAAATAGAATTGAAAATTATTACATATATATGAGATAATAGAAGACATGCATGCGTGTCTGTATGTATGACCTGTTACAATCAGAGTTTTTGAAGTCTGGTCCCTCCATGCAAACTCCTAGCATCTTGCTCCTATCAGCTCCCTCCATGCAAACTCCTTTCCATCTTGTTGGTATTTCTCCCATACCTTCATCTCTGAAACTTGGAGACTCGGGCCAAATTCCTGGAAACAAAATAATTTCAATAATAAACTTAAACCTGTGCAGTCCAATAATTAATTCTTGAACCAGACATATCTTTTATATATGCACTTTTTTACGGATAAGGATCTCTAATAAGGACTGGCCCTCCACTTTTGGTTTGCTCATTTTAGTTTTATTTTTATTACAGTCATATTATAATTTAATTTATATTCATCTTAAAATTTATTTTTAAATTAAAAATAAAAATTACGTGACATTATTATAAATTTATAATATTATTAAAAAATAAATGACTACTCGATATATAGAATAAAGAAGAAGAGAAAAAGGGGACGTACCTCCATCAATCATCCCAATTATGACGTCATAACTTGATTGATGAGGTGGATATGATCCACGCTTCAACTTTGGATTTGGTTTGCCGTCCAAGAAATCCCAAGAACGTGTTGTATGGAGTTGCAGAATTGGATCAGCAAAAACGGAGACAATTCCCTCACGCCCTGCTTTCACGCTAACTTTTTTAAATAACATTTAAATACATAAATTTATATACATTCAATAAATCAGATCAATTTCATTTTATATAAACTTATTTGTATAATCAATTATATTATCTGATGTATTAAATTCAAATTATTATATTTATTAAAATTTTATTTTAACGAAGATCATTTATTATTATGTCACGACCTCGATTGATAATAAAAATAAATTTAATTTTATTTCTTAATAATAATAATTTAATTAATGTTATTTAAATAAAATTAGGGTAAACTACATGTTTAGTATCTAATCTATTAATTTTCTCTCTTTTTTTATACCTAAACTTTTTTTTTTAAAAAATAATACTTAACGTTTAGTTTATATTTTCATTTAGTAAATCACTGTTAAATATTTTTTTATTTTTTCAATGGTAACGTGAAATTATCTTATGATGACACGTCAATATCACCAATAAGATTTTAACGACGGATCCCAAAATGAAACTTAAACTAAATGTTAAGTATAGTATTGAAAAAAATAAAGTCCGGGTACCAAAACGAAATAAAAGTAATAGTTTAGGTATTAAACCTGTAGTTTGCTCATAAAATTATACTGCAAGTGTATAAATCCTCTCTTTTTACTTCATATAGAGTATAACATAAGTGGCGACACAAGTGACAGGTATATATATAAAGAAGGCTCACCAGACAACTCAGAAGCTTCATTATCTGTGAGCATTGCAGAGAATCCTCTCAAGGCATGATTGTAATGATTTGTAAGATAAATTCTTTCCCTCTCATCCCTGTCCAAAACAAGATGATATATTTACAAATATATAAAAACCATATCAACGAATGATTATCATAGATTAATCATTATCGACCTTGGGATCACTGTGGACAGTAATTGCAGATGCTCTGATTCTGCAGTTTCTCCAGCTGAACTTCCCATATATACAACATAATGCTGCCAACTCAAACAAAGCTACCATTGCATGTCATCATCTCTTTGATGTTACACAATCATACATTTGGGATCTGATTCAGAGACATACCTTTGGGGTTTGATCGGCTGAAGCTGATGAACAACAGATGATGAGAAGGGAAACAGACAAGAGTTGCAGCAGGGAAGCCATTGTTAATAGTGATGGTGGTGGATCTGCAATTTATATAGAGAGAGAGAGAGAGGAGTTATTGAGAGCTTTTGTGCACATGGAAACTTGAGCTGTGAGGAAAGCATCTTTGATTATTCTTGGAGGTGTGGGACTGTTTTACATGAAGTGTTTGTTCCTGTTCCAGTTATCGTTTTCGTCTTCAACAGAAAATTAAACATTACACAGATATGAACACAGGTCATGAAAAAGTGGATGAAATAATGAAACATCGCTCTTTTCTATAATGAATCATTTTTTTAATTATTATTAATTCCATCTGAGATTATTATATATTTCTGTTTGGACTTTGGAGTGCATGCATGGCTTATTCTTCATTCCTCATCTCCTTTACATCTAATCAATTCTATAATTTTTCACACTTTTTATTTTATAAATTGATTTATTTGCATTTTCTAATTGAGTTCAATTTTTTTAGTTAAGTGACATTAAATTCAATCAAATACCATAAAGGTATACTCTAAAAATTAATATATACATATATGTATATATATATTGAATAAAATTAAATTAACGAACGGCTTATAGGCAAGGTAGTAAAAATTTTATAAACAAAAGTAATAGTCTTGTTGTTTGATTCTCAAGCAATGAGTTTTTGTTATTTTATTTAAAGATGATATAAAAGTACGAAAAGACAAAAACAGCTTACAATAATACTTATTGTTTTAAAATAAAATTAATTTCTTAATTTTTAAGTGAATTATAAACCGAATTATGATACTTGTTTGTCCATCGCACAACTCAATCCAGTGTGAGGGATGAATCCCTTAATTCTTTTAGGATCAAATATAATTTTATTATTATATTAATTTATAACATCATAATCTTGGAGGGGCTCCACGACAATTTTACCGAAGCTCCTCCTGTTCCCTGGCAGGCGCCCTAGTTTCATTATAGAAATAACAAGAACTCCGATGCCATTTGGGGAACTCTGTTGCTGCTTTTGTAATAACCATAATACATACCCAGGAGAATTTGATGATGATACTATACATAGGATGGGAATATGATCAATTACATTACACCAATTTAAGTGTTTAAACCTTTATACAAGCAGAAGCAAAATGCAAAATCAAAAGGGAATCAGATCAAACACCCAAAAAGAAACTATTTTCATCCTGCTTTTGGTCTACAATTTGAAAGGTTTACCCTATGTTACATATATGACACTATCTTTCCTTAATTCTGCATATCCAAATTACGGGGCTACCGTTTTACAACACATAAACTGCATTTCAGCATATGACTTCTTCCCACATATGTGATTTGTTCATGCAAACCAAATCTACACACAACAGAAGCTGGCCTCAACTGCATCCTGAATGTATGGCCAGCTTGTAAGTAGAAGAAGAAGAAGAGCAGTGTTCTACCCTGCATCAATCATAGCATTTGCATTGCTCCAAGAAAACACTACTATAAAATCGATCGAACTGTGGTCAATTTTCACAGAAACTTTGTATGGAGGGAACTCTTATTCCCGGGGCCGAGCCAGCCAAAGAGAACTCAGAGCTCGAAGCCTAGAAAAATAATCATTTATGGCAAGAAGAGCTCGAGCTGATTGCCTAGTTGTCAAGATTCGATGCATTTGTTGCAGTGTTTGCTGACGTAGATTATCAGCCTGGTATGATAAAAAAGGGAAAAAGAAAACATAATTTTAGCCTAGTGATTAACCTGGAAACATCAATTGACTAGAATATAAAACCTGATATATGGATTTTACAAAACAAAATTGACTCATACACAACAAAGTTCATAACGAAAAAGTCCCAAACTTTTGGAAGTTGTAAAATGTGGAAGCATCACAATATTCAATGATTGAAAACCAAAGAAGATTAAATGCACGTTATTATTCACATTAACTTCCTTTTTACTTTAACTACACTTGAGAGTAAAAGGTCATATACCCAATGCCCAAGGCAACTGCAATAAGCAGGGTCTGGAGAAGGGTCCAGATGTACACAGCCTTCCCCTGTTGAGACTATCATAGTAAAATGACACACAATATAGCCAAACACCTAAATTAATAATATTTCAACAAGCTATCAACAGACGAAAAATGTTTCCTACTGTTTAAAACGAAGACCAAGGGAACATCAAGAAGGTCGAGCCCAAATTGAGAATGCCCTTCTTTTCCCCACCCCGTCCCACTTTTTTCTTCCCAACACACAGACACACATTCAAGTCACATTCCACGTAAAATGAAATAAGAAACACAGAGAAAACATAGCCAATATTGCACACAAAACGGAAGTACCTGAAGAAGGAATCCTTCAAGGGTTCCTAGCTTTCCCATTGCCATGGCCATTTGACCCATATAGTTTGCCACATTTCCAGATGACCCTGAGGGACCAGGAGGTGAGCCGTTGGCCAAAGTCCCAGCCAAAGATTGTTGCAATGCTTCCATTCCTTGTGACAAAGAATCTTCTGCCTGTTGGGATGACTGCTGCAACTTTTGGATATTCATAAACTGCTGCTCAGTTAGAGGCTCCAATTGATTTGAAAGAAGCTGCATCAACATCCATTATGTTTAAGAAATCATCAATAAACTAACAAGGGTTGAAAAGATGAATGCATCAGAATGTACCTTAGAATAAAGAACAGGGAAACAACACAACTTAATATTAATCATTGACAATCATGAACATTGAGACTGCTACATGAAATGGTGTATCTATTCTTAAAACATGGCTTGTTCTATAGGCATTTGTTTTACTTTTATTTTAAGAATCTAAGCATTATATCCCTATTAACTCAAAGCCAAACACAAACATGAAAGGACCAAGTGAATAATGCATGTAAACAAACAAGTGTAGTCCATTAAGAGAAAAAAAAAACAAAGTACACAACACCATGATTATCAGAACCACGCCAGATAATACCAGTTCAAATCATGGGCCACAGATCCATCGATGGATCATTTGAGTCAATTGCCGGATAACATAAACAGTTTTATATATTATGAATACTTCAAGAAAAGTTATTGGCGAGGAAACGATGATGAAAAAATGTTGAGAATATATTTTAGCAACTTATGAAATAAGGGCTAGATTGTTCCATTTAGTCAATACTCTTGCCACTGGTTTTCTACATTCATGCAAAGTGCATTGCTCAGCTTTTGTGAGACAACTGTGTTTGAATTGATAATTCTTCTTAACCTTGTTAATTTTTAAATCAAATATGAAAATTTTAAATTTTACAATTTTCTTTATGTGGGTAGTTATTTCTTTAGTGTAAAGACGTGCATCCTTGATTTTATAATCTTTTTAGTAGTTTGATTTGATTTTTTGTTACAACCCTCTTGAGTGTAAAGAGGTGCAGCCTTGATTTTATAATTTTTATAGTTTGATTTGATTTTTTTGTTACAACCCCTTGACAAAATTGATATCCCTTGGAACTTCATATGTACCATGAAAACAGTCCTTGGTATCAAAAGACTGGAGCTCACCTTGAGAAGCTCAGATGAACGGAAGCCTCCAATCCACAGAAAACACCGCTCTGCTGGTGTTTTCCACATTCCAGATAAGATATGGAACACATCAGCTTTTGCTGCAATGCCTTTCAACCTGAAAATGTCCTCATAATGTGTTGTGACACTGTCAACAATAATGCGTAATTCAGCATCACCAGCATGTGAATTGACAGCATTCCTCAACTCATTTATCTTCCTATTGTGCTCCTCTAGCCACCGTGTATATTCAATATCAAATGCCAGTGCACCTGTACACCAGCCCACGAAGATCAGACTCCAAAAATAATCAAGAGATTAAAAGTGCTTTTAATTTTTACTTATTGTTTAAAAGAAAAAAAGAGAGGAGTCAATACGTAACTTAAATTCACACTACCATATGGCAAAAAGAGAAAAATGCAGGGCAATAAAGTACTAAATTATTGAAGACAATTGTTTTTTCTTGAAAAATATTCCAACAATCAATTCTTGTCTGGGTCAGGCGAAACAATGACACCAAATTTTATCAATGAACAAAATCCAATAACCCAAAAAATCCAGTCAATAATTAGACCTTATATGCCATGATGACCAAAGGAAAAAGCAAAAGCAAAATAATTCCAAAACAAACATCCAAACCAGAAAAACAACGATTCAGTTAAATGCATATAACAAAGCTATATGTATGGACTCACTGACCCTTGAATTAAATACTTTGGTATGGATACCTAATACATATTATCCACTCATGCGATGTAATAGTTACTGTAGTGAAACATGTTTTAACCAACTCACAACATAAGAAACTAGCATTCCAAGACCCTAGTACCAAATAACAAAAATAAATTTTCAAGTTCCAACCATGACCCGAAACAATAGGAAAGCCTAAAAAGGCTTATACCATTTCCACTCATTGAATGAGATTGATCTCCTGAGCTTGAAATAAATATGCCCTATAGTGAAACAAGCAAAAATGAAGATATGTAAGGCGTAATAAACACCATTAGCAGCCTGAAAATTAAAATGCAAATGATATATCACAACACTGATGATATTAACATGTAGCAGACCTGCTGACGAGCTCGCTGCAGCTCTTGCTCAAGTTGAGTCAGTTTTAGTCTGCTACTCTCTAACTGCTGCACATATGCCTAGGTTTTGAAAGCAGAAAAAGGGTTAAGAAATAGGGAATACAATAATGAAACTGGCAAACTGGGCTTAACTGGAACAAAAATGAAAAAGCATACATTGCACTTTTTCCCTCTTTTACTGGTCAGATACTGCTGTTTCTACACTTTTTTTCTCTAAGTGTTCCCATTATTTGGAGGATCAGACGCCCATATCCATGAAAATTGAATATGTGCCACACGGGCACTTCAAAGAAGGTGAAAGGTCAGAGCAAGAAAATTGTTTCATATTTCCAACCAATAACTTTCCCTGGGTCATATAAAAAAAATACTTTCCCTGGGAAAATTATTTGCCCTCATCTGGCCACAACGATATTTTTCTAATTCTTATGATGTCTTAAGAGGGATAATCAATTGGCATCAATGTTGTCAAGGGTGCTAGGCACACAAAAAAAAAGCACTTGCCCAAGTAAAGTAAGCCGCATGCATATAAGGATACATGTATATATAAATATAAAATGTATCTGAATTTTTTTGTAAAACATAATAATTATTCAATCATATTTTAGAGTGAGGGAGAGAAGAAACTTAAAAGTTAAAAAGCACTTTTATGGTTTTACCATGGGAACTAAAGAAGTTAAAAGCACATAAAAACTTATAAGTTGACTTCAGTTCAGTAAAGCCAGCTTTTTTATCGCCTAGTGTTGAAGTGGAAGGCGGCATAAAGCGCGTGAAGGCATGCACCCAATTAAAATGGTCTCGCCTGAGAAAGTTAAAGGCATAATTGCTACAAAATTGATTGGCATTAGAGGTGTGATGTAAAGGTGTAATTGCTACATTACGCTAGAATGGGTTTTTATAAGTTATCCCTAATTTACAATGAGTCACAAAGAAACTGCATCCTTATAGATAGCAACTTATAATTTCATATAAGATTGCATTGATAAAAATTTAAAATTTTGAACCAAGTCGTAAATAAAATACCTTTTTCCTTAAACGGCTTTTTCTTGCAGCCTCACGATTTTGAGCAAGCCTCCGCAATGTCTGAAGAAGGGAAGATGATAAGTTCATAAACATGATGGTATATGGATAAACTGTTTTAACAATCTAATATTCGTGTTACCCAATCTATAAAGAAAGAATAAGGAGAAATCTGACCTTCTGATCTGTTTTATTTTTTGATCTATCGCTAGAATCAGAAGCTGCAATAGCAGTCAGTTGACCTCCTCCAAACTGCACAAAATATTGGTGAATTTACAAGCACTATTAGCCAGTAGGTACATTTTCAAGTACAAATTATGTGTCTACATATGAAATTTTTTTCTTTCTTATTTCTCAGTGAGAGATAAAAGTAAACCTTTGGAATCAAGGTGAAATGAAAACGAAAACAAAAAGAAAAATGTTTAAGCACTAGTATGATACATTACCCTTTGATTCTTCTCATCAGTGTCATCTGTTGAAGTATCTGTCCTGGGACTGCCATCTGCCATATCGAAACCGTCCAATTCTCCTGACCAGATGATGTAGATACAAGATTTGGCTGGAGCTTTTTGAAGTGCTTTGCTTGTGATCCGACAATGATGGCAGAGAGACTGCTATCTGTACATGCAACGTCTTACACACATAAAGAGGGAAAGAGAATTCTTAGTGGCTAAACTTAGTTTGAGAGTTTGAAGTACGGGCACAATTGTTTAAAGGATATAAATACCCACCTTGCTTAAAACACCAAACTTGGATTGCTTGAAAACTTGACTATTTGATTATATAGACAATCTAAATGCAAAAAACATAAAAAATAGAAATTATAGTAAGATCCCTCGTGAACGAGACAAAGAAAAACATGTTAAATCAGCAAATCATTTCAATTACATAACAAGAACGATGAACAATGCAATACGATGGCAACTTCACTGGTGAATAAACAAAAGCAAGAACACACTACTTAGTATACACCTATAATCAACCAATTCTACCTTACCATAGGTAATCTCCAAAAAACCAAATAGATGAAGGGGTAGCCAATACGAAGCTCATACATAAGAAGATAAACATCGATAACTATTAGAAAACAGTTATCTGAAATCTCATAAGCATTATAAAATTGAAAGAACATTAAAATTGTGAATAAAACCAAACCTCCAAACGAGAAAACAAATACATGGGACTGGAAATGGACACTTAAGGAATGTAGCTCCTCGTTTTCTATAGCAGTATTCACCGTTCTACTGCTATCAAGAGTTACGAACTATTACATCGTCCAAGACCGCTTTTTTATCCCTTTCCAAATGAATTCCACCTGAAACCAAAATGCCAAAATAACTCGGATAACCTCACCCGAAGAGAAATCAAGAAGCAATACCAAAATCGAACTTCTCAAAACTAGAAACAGAAAGAACTATCTTAACCTTTTACCCGAACATATAGGAATCACAATAACAAATCTAAACACAAACCAAGTAGCAAAAAAATCGAATTTCAATCATAAAAAAGGGAGGGGTAAACAAAGAATTAAATTGACCTTGCATTCAGCTCTAAGCTGAATTTCAAAGCACACGGATTGAAGTGCGAAGTAACCAGTTCAGCTTAGGGGGAAATAGTAACTTTTGAGGAACTAAGCAATATACGGAAGTGGAGAGGAATAAAAGAACAAAGAACAAAACAAAATCGAATATGATAAAAAGATCGTTGTCTGAACGAGGAAGAGCAGAGGAGCTGAATTAGGGTTTTTTAAAACATGGTATGCAATTATGAGATGATAATATAATAATTAGTGTTAATTACAAAAAGTATCACTAAACTTTCTTCTTATTTCTATTTTGGTTACTACAAATGAAAAAGTTTCAATGTTATTATTAAACTTTTAAATTGCTCCTATTTTGATTACTCCGTTAAATAATAACGACATTATAAGAAGTAGATTACGCCAAAATGATGGCATTTCAAAAAATTCAAATTTACTCTAAAATAATGTTTTAAATCCCTGTAAATTCTATTTTCCTTTCTTTTCTTTTCTTTTCTTTTTCCTTCTTTCTTCTTCATTTCCTTTTGAGAAAATAACCTCAGTGACCAAAAATCCCATATAATATACGATTTTAACCAACTTTTTCCGGATTTGCCAAAATGACCAACAAAATCGCAATGCGATCGCTAATTCGCAACGCGATCTCCATTATCACAAATACGCGTTGCATTTTCGCAATGCGATAGTTGAAAATCGCGTTGCGATGGTCTACAGTATCGTTGCGATTTTCCCAATTCGCAATGCGAATAAGTAAATCGCAACGCGAATTGGGAAATTCGCAATGCGAATAAGTAAATCGCAACGCGAATTGAGAAAATCGCAATGCGATACTGACTATCGCAATGCGATAATAAAAAATCGCAACGAGATACTTACTTTCGCAACACGATACTGACTTTCGCAACGCGATAATACATAATCGCAATGCGATTTTCAAAGCGCCATTAGTATCCTGGCCAAGTATTTTATTTTTAAATTCCAAACATGAATATAAATATATTGGAACACTGAACTGTCCACAGTATATCCCGTAATCGCAACTCATAACCTAAAACCTAAAATCACAACTCAGTCCCATCTCCATCTCTCACTCTCTCACCCATCTCCGACGAAATCCGTCCCCATCTCCGGCGAAATCCGTCTATCTAAATCTCTCAGAGCCACCTTAACAATCAGAAATGGAAAATCAACCAAATCAACCAACGAGGGTTAGTTTTTTTAATTATTTTCTTTTTGAAATTTTTGCATTATTATTAGGTTTTTCATATTGAATTTGATGATAGGTTTACTGGTAATTTCAATAATAGATTAACCATTTCACTTAGATTGCTTATTAAATCAACCAAGAATCGCAACGCGAAATGCAAATCGCAACGCGATTTTAGTTTCGCGTTGCGGTTCTCTCGTTGCGATAGTCATTTTCGTGTTGCGATTTTCATTTTCAGAAACTATTCTTCTTCTGCAAATTGAAACTTGAATGAATTGCATTACTTCAACCAAAAAACAAAGACAAATACGAAATTCACAGTGTTGCATATTTAAGTTTGAAGAATAAACTACTACTATTTATGTTTATTATTGTTTTTGGTATATCTTCACAGTGTAGTTTTTGGTATATCTAATTTAGTATGTTTATTGTTTTTGTAGAACTTTTATTCGGCTCAATTGACCTTGAGAAATAAAGTCAGCCTGGCCAAAACAATTGCGTCGAAGCTTTCACCTGCACAAAGAAAAATGTTTGAGGATACATGCTTCGGGCCATGGCTGAAAGTACAACATCCCGGTGGAGATGCGATGTTGACACACCTGTTTCTTCAAACCATGACTAGAGATCTACCAGAGACTATACAACGTCGAGATGAAGAGATATGGTTTGATTTTCCACCGGCGTATACGTGTTTTGGGCGGGAGGAGTTTTGCTTAATCACCGGTCTACGCTTCGGACACGATGATGTAGGTCGGTACACTAGACACATTACCCGCCCATCATGGCTATCCCGGGTTTTTCCTGAGCTGGAGAGGCCGAGTCTACACGTAGAAGACCTGACAAGATTTTGAATAATAAAGATGGTTTTACTCGGATGGATGACGTCGACGTTGTCCGAGTATGCCTTCTAATTCTTTTGCATGCCGGCTTTTTAGGCAGAGAGGCCAGACAACCTATTCCAAATGATCTAATCAAATTGGTAGAAGACCTAAATGCGTGGAACCTGTTTCCGTGGGGCTCGTATTTATGGAAAGCTACATGGAATAAGTTATCGTCTGCCTTGGATGATCGAAAAAGTTTGCATGGCGATGGTTCCAAATACACTTTGACAGGCTTTATTTGGGCCTTTAAGGTAAGAATTTTTATATAATGTTTCCAAAATTATAAGTAATTATTTAACAATTACTAATGTTTGTTATTATATTGTTTGTAGATTTGGATATTTGAGGCCTTTCCCGCCATGAAGACATATGCAATAAAAACTTCAAATAATATTCCCAGGGCTATTTCCTGGAAGAGGAAACGAACCTTGCAATGGGAAGATTTACTACGGTATACGACAATAAATAATGTAAGTTAACATAAATACTACCATATGTTTATAAACAAGTTATTACTAGTACACATTTAACTTTGTTTAAGCTTTTATATTGTTAGGAGGCCAACACTCCTCTACAGAGGCTGACACCCACGGAAGCTGAGCTTGCCACTGATTGGTGGCAAGCTAGTAAGCGTTTTTTTGATGGAACGGTTGATGAGCAGCCTCCACTTCGGGAGCCATCACCTCGCCCAGAGCTATCACCTCACCTAGAGCCATCATCTGATCGACCCGGCTATACACCTCCACAACGACAGCCATCACCTATTCTTTCACATCATCGAGCCTCTTCTCCACCATCACCGCAAGATAGGCGACCGGCAAAGATGTCACGACGTTTATCTCCCTGTTCTCCACCTCAACGGGATGAGTTAGGGGAGTTACGTGATGAGGTCAATGCCTTGCGTAAGGAGGTCGGTACTTTACGCAAAGACGATGGTGCATGGCGTGTTGAGGTGTCTACATTACGCGGTGAGGTAGCCGCTCTACGTGAGATGGTAGCATCGTTGCAGAATGAGGTTCATACTCTACGCAACGAGGTAAGTTTAAGATTTTTCATACTCGTAATTCATTCGGTTGCTGCCAATCTGTTTTTGTTAGTATTTGTTTTTGGTTTTGTTTTTGTCTTTTGGTTGAAGTAATGCAATCCATTCAAGTTTCAATTTGCAGAAGAATAGTTTACTTTCGCAACACGAAAATGACTATCGCAACGCGGAAATGGCTATCGCAATGCGAAATGAAAATCACAACGACAAAATCGCAACGCGAAATGAAATCGCAACGACAAAATCGCAACGCGAAATGAAAATCGCAATGTGATTTGTGTTTCGCGTTGCGATTTTGTCGTTGCGATTTCATTTCGCGTTGCGATTTTGTCGTTGCGATTTCATTTCGCGTTGCGATTTTGTCGTTGCGATTTCATTTCGCATTGCGATAGCCATTTCCGCGTTGCGATAGTCATTTCGCGTTGCGATTTTAAGTTTCGTGTTGCGAAAGTAAACTATTCTTCTTCTGGAATGTTTATATGTTGTCCTTTTAAATGTTTATATAAGTGCTTACTTCTGGAATGTTATCTGAGCATTTTGTGAACTATGATAGAATAATGATTTAGGTGAATACAATGCTAGTTTGAAACATATTTGTCTTTGTTTAATATCATGTCTGTTTATTTACTGATTTATGTATTAATTTTTTTTAGCGGCCCGATAAGGTGGATGCTTTACGTCGGGTTTTCCTTGCACGACGGAGTTCACGCATCAGACGGCGTGGACGTGCTATTACGTCTCCGTTCACCCCAATGGTGCGAAGACTCCGCAAGAAGAAGCCCGACTCACCGGTCATCCCTCAAGAGTCCCCTCCAATCGTTCAAGAGGCCCCTATTCTCCCTCAAGATTCCCCCCCACCGTTCAAGAGGCCACTGTCATCGTTGAAGAGGTCCCTCCCACCATTCCAGAGCCCGATTCACATGGGGTAATATATCGAAGTATTGAGAAACCCCCACCGGTTCCGGACATGATGGATGAGAGTTGGCTCTCGTATGAGTTACCGGCTAGTACCCTTCCGGTATCTGAAGTGGAGAGGAGACAACTACCGGAAACAATTGTGGATAATACCCTTTGGGCTAAGACCGCAGTTGATTTTTATCTACATGAGCGGAGCCAAGGGTGTTACACTGACATCAATAAACTCAACGATGAAATGTTTTTGTTGCTTGATCGGTCTTGGTGGGGTGTGCTATTAGGGGTTGAAGACAGTGGCTATTTGGATGGGGAGGTAAGACTATATTTGTCTTATATATGATTTTGATTAATTTGTTTAAAAATTAATGTAATTCACTAATATATGTATTTTTTTGTAAAACAACATATCGATGCATGGGTGTTACGTCTACTAATAATAAGGAAGCTTAGGAAAAATAAAAAAAAATTCGCTATATACAATAATGCCGACGGCTTTTCACGCAGTTCACTTGAAGAATCAACGAGATGAATCATTTTTGTTGGGCAATGGACAAGCTAAACTTTATCCTGCATGGTGGGAGGTCGATACAGTTAGTGTTTATTTTTTAAATTTTTTAAAGGTGTTAATAAATAATAAGTGCGCAAATAAATGAATTATTACTTATGATCGCAGGTGTTTATCCCTGTTTTGGAACGTCGTCACTGACTTCTCGTCCAACTTCAGCTCCCATCCCTGAAGATAATAGTGTATGACAGCATGATCAATTACATATCACTGTCTGATTTGAGAGATATTTTCAAGGGATGGAGCTCTCATTTGGCTAAATTCTTGGATGGGATTAAGTATTGGAGTCATTCTGGACACAAGAAGCCAAAGAAGTTCAATGTCACAGTTGTCAGAGACGAGACCGCGCCACAGCAATCGCCGGGAGCCAGAGGGGATTGTGGTCCTCTCGTATGCCTTTGCTTGGCGCGTTTGACGACGGGAAGCACATAGTTTTTACCTCCCACCGATAGAGATAGAGCTGCAGTAGGCTTGTGGTTTCGGCATTATATGGCTAGAGCAATATATTCGAGACGCTGCCTACCTGCATCCGCGTTATGAAAGTGTCCATTGTTAATTGGTAAGTCAAATGCAAGTTTTGTTAACATAT